ACATCCACTTTAATGTGCTGCTGCATCTCGGCGTAAGAAAGGTCGTTATCAAAAATTAGCTTGTCAAGTCAAAATCTAGAATTGCTAGAATCGTTCTAGAATTGCGCCCCTCAAGGTGGCTGCATGTTGGAGCAGCTCTGTTACTTTCGTTCTGAGATTTTGCTTTTGGAACCTTTAATTCCTCTTTTTCTGGATGTAAATCACATTTTTTTTTATGATTGTTTCCTCTGGTATCGGACGCTGTGCAGCCGGAAGGATTTTTACTGAAACTTTTTTGGTTTTGGACATTTGTTATGATGCATAACCATGGCAACAAGGCAGTTTTCTACAACCAGGAGCAGCTGATTAACATCTCAAAAGCTCAAATAATATCTCAACTATGGCCCCAACTCAAATGAGTTGAAAAGGATGTTATGTGGATGCATTCTCATCTACCCGCCAGCTGTGCTCGAGTGCCTGACCACTGAGATCCTGGAACTAGCAGGAAACACGGCTCACGACAGCAGAAGGACAGGATCGTCCCTCGGCACCTACAGTTGGCTGTCCACAGCGACAAGGAGCTCGGCAGCCTGCTTGGAGGAGTGGCCGTCGCTCTGGGAGGAGTTCTGCCCAGCATTCAGGCGGAACTACAGCCCGGAGGAACCGAGAGGCCAGACGAGTCTGGGTGGATGGATCGGACGGCATCTGCAGCCAGTTTCTTAGGATCCACTGTGGGATGGACCTTTACAAGAAATCCTTCCTACCTACAGCCATCAGTATCTATAACATCTCTTAATGAAATGAGGATAACGAGTTACAACAACAAATAATTTCCCTTTGGGATTAATAAAGTATTTTTGAATTGAATTGAATAGAAAATCGAAGACGGTCTTTGTCGTGTGTATGTGAACTGACCATCCCAGTTATTTGAGGAGACTATGCTTTCTAGTTTTTATACTGCTTAAAGTACAGTTTTCCTCAAATGACTGAGGTGTCTAAAGATTAATCTGTGGTGGCTAAGGCCACCACTGACCTCCCTCTGACTCGGCCACTGTTCCTGGTCATGGATAAAACTGCTCACTACACCCACCAGGATCTGTCACTCTGCATTTCCACCGACAAGCAAAAAAAAAAAAATCACTTCTATTGCTTTACACAATAACTCCTCCCCACTTTATCTTGCACCAAAACATTGTTTACCTGCACTTCCTGTTCAGTTCCAGTCCAGAAAAACACTCATCTCCAAAACTACGAACGTTCACTATTCATATCCATCAGTGATGGGGGACACTGGCATATTGCATGTTTTGTAAATGTTTCCTCTTTGTCAGTTGCGTGTGAAACAGTAGAA